AAGTATAATAATTTACTTTGTGCAATTGTTTGAATTCATAACGAGTTGAGTCGAGTTTGAGTTATTTTTTATTTGAATTTGAGCTTGATAAATTAATTGAGTTCAAGCTCGAGCTGATCTTTATTCTACGAGTTTGAGCCTGTTTATTTATTATGAATGAGAGAAAATATTTATAATTCAAATAATTATTATAATAAAATGATTAAAAGAATGATGAATTAGAAAAAGAATTATTTGATACAAGAAAATGAATTATAATTTTAAATATTTTTAACAATTTTATACATAAATTATTAATTTTAATATATTTTAAATGTATTTTATATTAATATTTTTTGAACAAGACAGCAAGTCTAGTGAGGGCTAGCTCAACCAAGAAATCTTAGGTTCAAATCTTATGTATGTGATGTGTGTGTTAATTTATCTTAATTGGCCTAAATGTTCAAAAGAAAACCCTTGATCACGCGGTATCGAGTGTAGGAGTACTATGCTCTTAAACCTTCTCGATAATAGGAGTTATTATTCTGTGCGGACACCAGATGGGAAAACCGTCTGATTAAGCGTTGGGTACCCAGTGGTACTGAGCTGGGTACCCATCAATGGAGTGACGTGTCGCGTTTTTAGTGATCTCCAGACGCCTTCCAAACTCCGCACAGAATAATAAATCCGATAATAGTGTACTGGGCCACAGGAGAATCACAACTTCATAAGGTGGCAGCTATGGCCAAAAGTCATTTCTCATTTCACATTACTCCTAACTGCCCCATCTCGTTCTTATATAGGACCATTGGTGCAATGGTAGGTCCCTGCCTGAGATTTTGGGGACTACTTCATGTTGAATTGAGGTAGGGGTGCAAACGAGTCGAGCTCGAGCTCGAGCCAGGGGTTGTTCAAGTTGAGCTCGACTCTCAGATACCGAGCTCGAGCTCGAGCTCGAACTCGAGTCGAGCTCAAAATCCGAGCTCGAGCTCGACTCGCTTTGTTGTCGAGTGGCTCGTCGAGCTCAAAATGTCGTCGCGTACTCGCCTTCGCTGCCGTGCAGACGTCCGTCGTCGTCGCGTACTCGCGGTTTGTCGTCGCGTTTTATGTCAAGGTCGCGTCCAACGACGACGTCGTCCTTCATCGCGTCGTTCGCGCGTTCAATCGAGCTCCGAGCTTCGTCGTCGTGTCCAACGACGACGTCGTCCGTCGTCGTCGTCACGCGCTCAATCGAGCTCCAAGCTCCGAGCTTCGTCGTCGTCGTCGCGTCCAATCTATAGTCCCGAGCTTCGTCGTCGTAAGCTCCGAGCTCAATCTCATCGCGTCCATTCCGAGCTTCGTCGTCGTCATCACGTTCGTTTCGAGCTTTGCCATCGTCGTCGTGCTCGTTGCGAGTTCCGCCGTAGAGATCTAATCCACCGTCGTCGTCCCGAGCTCGATCCCATGAATCCCGCCCAGTCGAGCTGCTCGTCGAGCCGACAAGTCGAGTCGGATGCCTGTTCGAGCTCAAGCTCGTTAAGCATTCGAGCTCGAAACTGTGTTCGAGCTTGACTCGCGAGCTCGTTTAGCTCGGCTCGTCGAGCCTGTTGTCGAGTCGAGCCCGAGTCGGCTCAGAAGACGTTAAGCATGGTGAAAAATTTCTGTCCAACAAAACTTACCTAATGTGTTTGCTTTACATAACCAATTGGAGAACAGGAGGTTGGATATGATATTCATGAGCTATTTGTTTTGCTGAACAAAAAAAGGCAGAGTAAAAAAAACACTATAAAATAAATATGTTATATTGGAAGTATTTTTAAGTTTAATTTGAAGTGAATTTAAGTCCATGTAAAGTCCAAAGGTGACCAGCTGTGATAGTTATTTTTAATTTTTTTTAAGTACTTAAAAATTATTTTGAGTGCCTATAAAAATTAGGGGTGTCAATTCGGGTCAACAGGTTGGGTTTGGGTCGAACCCGAAATTGACCCGGCACTGTTCGGGTCAACCCGAACCCGGGTCGAACCCGACCCGTTTTTAAAAACGTGACCCAATTCGGGTTCGAGTCAACCCGACCCGACACGAATTAACCGAAGTTGACCTAAAATTGCTAGTTTTCGGATCAAAAATCGGGTCAATCTTTGATTTCCGGGTCAAAATCGGGTAAAAAATAGGTCAATCTCGGGTTTCCGAGTCAAATAGGAGTTTTCATGTCATTTTCAGATCATTTTCGAGTTGTTGGATCAACCCGAACCCGACCCAATTTTTAAAACGGGTTGATATGTTGAACCCGAACCTGACCCGTTTTGGGTCCGGGTTGACCCTAACCCGGATTTTTCCGGGTCGGGTTCGGGTCGTTTCGGGTCGTGTCAAAAATTGACACCCCTAATAAAAATATCTTAATTTATTTTCTGAAAAGTAAAAAAAATAAAAAATAAAACTATATATATATTCCCTAATAGGCCCTGAAGCAACATTTCAACCCTTCCACCATTGACTAAAAAAAAACAGCCTTCAACCATTGAAAAACAACTCCTGCAGGATGTTATAAATAAAACTCATAAGAAAAGGGGCAAAATATCATATATAAATTTCAGTGCTTCAACAATAAAACATTCATCTAATTGCAAATTCATTAATATCAGGCCAGGAAGATTTATACGACAAACCAATAGAACAGTGAATGGCTTAATTCAAGCATAATCCAATAAATATAAACTTGTCCACAATAATACTTAGCCACTTGTATAAATGATCATAGCACCTAAATCCATTAACATCTTAAAATATGGATACATAGCATTAAGGCTTGTTTGGAACGGTTTCTTTGTTGCTTCTTAAAGAAGCTTTTTAGTACAAAAATTGTACTAAAAAGCTGATTTTAAGAAGCAATAAAAAAATTTTCAAACAAAACCAAAATGAAATTCATTGTACACACATTCATTTAACAAAAGCAATAAGATAAGTCTTTTATCAAATCAATAACTAGACAATATTAATCACCCTATTAATAATACCCTCAAATAGAAAGGTTTTCACTAACTAGACGGAGTCTATTGACTACTCCATAAGAGTCATTACTTTGTAGGCTGTTAGGCCTAGGGGTGCAACCGAGTCAAGCCGACTCGCGAGCCGGCTCGGACTCGACTCGGTAACAGGCTCGACAAGTAGAGCTTATCGAGCTCGCGAGTCAAGCTCGAACTCGATCGAGCTCGAACTCGATCGAGCTCGAGCTCGAACATACGTCGGACTCAACTCATCGGCTTGACGAGCAGCTCGTTGGTAGAGCTCGTGGGCCGGAAATCCAAATCTCGTGAGCGGAAAATCCAAAACATCGGCGAAGCACGAGCGGATCTCTATTCTTGACGGCGGACGAGCTCGGGACGAAGGGCGGATGAGACTGATCTCGATCTTGACGACAGAGCTCATCCACTGCTCGTCGGATCTCGGGACGACGACCTCGAGACGACGGATCTCGAGTTCTCGACGACGGAGCTCAGGCACACGTCGGACGAGCTCGAGATGTCGGTTCTCGACAGAGGATGTTGTGAGTTCGGGAGATGAATCTCAACGACATATCTTGGAAGACGATGGACGAGCTGGATGATGACAGACACGACGACGGCGGAACCGCGGAAGTCAGAACTGAGGTCTCGAGACGACGGGTCGCTCGTCACGGGAGCGACGACGGGCTCGATAGCGAGCTCGACGAGCCGCTCGATATGACGACGAGTCAAGCTAAAGCTCGGATTTTGAACTCGACTCGAGTTCAAGCTCGAGCTCAGGTTTTGATTGTCAAGCTCGACTCGAACACCCCCTGGCTCAAGCTCGACTCGACTCGTTTGCACCCCTAGTTAGACTGATCCCTCATGGACCGGTCCAGCCGGCCCCTTGCCTAGGGCCGGATCAAGTTTATAAGAGGCAGACCAAGGGTCCGCCCCTTTGAAGTTACCGCCCATGCTTGTATGGGGACCACTCATGAATTTGAATAGGAAAGGAGGGGGCGGCTAGGGCTAAGGAGGCTTCGATTGTTATTTATTTATTTATTATTTTTTTAGGAGGCTTTGATTGTTTGCTTAAATTGTAAGAGAGGATAAGGGTTAGGGTTATGCTTTGTTTTGTGGCTAATTTCGAAGTTCTTGTTCTTGGTGTCTTGGGCCCTAGATTCGTCTAGGGATTGGGAGAGAACAATCTCCTCTCAAATTGAGAATCAATTGTATCTTGATTTATTTTATCCGTTGGTTTGCTTTCTACAACAAAAACTATTGTTTTTGCTTGTTTTTCATTGATTTGTGGAGCTTTCCCACTGTTTTCGTCAATCTTGTTAGGGTTTACTTGAAATATTCAAGTATTTCCTATCATAGGCACACATGCATAGCAAACTAATCTTATCACCCAAAAAAGCATTATCAACAATCATATTCAACAAGCACAGAAGCATGGCTTATAGGAGTCATTAGCATGGTGTTATGAGCAAGGTTTACATCATGTCAACAAATACAATGATGAACAATATAAACAAGGTTTATCATATGTCAACAAATGTAATGGACAAGCATAACGAATTAATACAAATAATAGTAAAGCTAAGTACACATCAATAACATTAATCATTTTATAATGGCAATCTTAAGCATAAGAAATCAAATCACTAATTGAGTATGAATCTAAGGCTTCATTTTACACGGCTTTTTTGTTGCTTCTTAAAGCAACTTTTTAGTACAAAAATTAAATTTTTTATACTATAAAGTTGTTTTAATAAGCAACAAGAAAGTCATCTCAAACGAAACCTAATCCAATATTGAATCTTTGATTAGATGAACAAGATCGACGATCACTTGAGTGTAATCTAAACACATGTCTACTCCATGTTAATCCATCAAGGTAACCGTATATTAACCAATAACATAAACAAATATTCCAAATCTAGGAATCCCTAAAATGCCAATTAGGTTAATTTAACCATATGAATTGGATTAAAAAAAAAAACATATGAATTGGGTTACTAAGAAAACTCCCTCACAGATACTTGAATGATGGGCAAACAACATAGACTCGTTTTGGACTATAGACCTACCTTTCTATACTATCCCATTGGGCCTGTCTTATTATCAAACTGGTTCGAGTGAACTCGTAATTTTTATTGTTCAAATTTTTAAATGAGTTATTACAATCTTGTTCCTTTTCATAAAAGTTTTACAATGGTAATCTCTATAATACTCTCTTTCATTCCTATATACCTATATACCTCTTATTCCACAAATAAATAAATTAGGTATGATATCAACCAAATATTTACTCACTTTGAACTGCCATGGATGGTTCAAGCCTCTGCTCTCCTTATAAAGCTTTCAAAGATTTATCTGCTGATCGCAATCTTCTTTTACATAGCTAACTTTCTTGAGTTCTCTTCTTAACTACCTTCTAACATGAATCCTTTACCAATATGATACTTCCTCTCTCTTTCACTTGAACAAGTTTCCAACTCCCAATCTCCGTAAGCAGTCTGATTGATCGCCATGGAATGGTAAGCAGAAGTTATGGGCTTAGGGCATCTCCAACCGAAAATCCCATTTTTCACTCCAAAATGCGGTGAAACGTAAAAGTGTCAAGATTCATCTCCAATCAAACTCCATTTTGCGGGCTTCTAAGAAGGTAACCATCTTTCTCCTCTTTTGGCGCATTTTTTCGACAAATCCGGTTGAGACAGAAAAATCACGTAGGTGAACAGTGCAACGCCAATATTGGTGTCGCACTATTCACCTGCAAGCAAATAGCGGAAGAATTGGCGTTCGGCTGGAGCGACCGGACGCCATATGCATGTTTGACGTTCGGTTGGAGATGCCCTTACACACCATATCTTTGCATCCTCAGAAAAACTCAACATTTTCCTTCCTAAATGAAGGTCTCTTTCAACATTGAGCACCATAGGCCATATGATCCCGCGATAAAACCCAGCTACTCCCTCGGGCCCTCATCACCCTTCTCTCCTCCATCAGCCTCCTTAACCTCTCGGCTTCCTCAAACCTCCCAGCCGCAGCATAAGTATTGGCCAACAACATAAAATTCCCAGAATTCTCCGGCTCGATTGCAAATAGCTCTCTTGCTGCAATCTCTGCAAGCTTAACCTCTCCATACTTCCTGCAAGCACCAAGAAGTGCCCCCCAAGCCTTAGCCGTCGCCTTCACGGGCATGTTCATTAGAATCTCATATGCCTCACAAACTCTCCCAGCTCTGCTCATAACATCCACCAAACACGAGTAATGATCGCTTCCAGCTTCCAAGCCATGAACTTTGGTGATGACCTCGAAGTATCTCAATGCATCATCGGCAAGGCCGGCATGACTGCAGGCCTTCAGCACGGCAAGGAACATGATGCCATCTGGACGTATTGCATTGGATTCCATTTCCCGGAAGACGTGCATTGCATTGTTAGCGTGGCCGTGGAAGGCATAGGCAGATACCATGGAACTCCAGACGACCACATCTCGGTCAGACAACTCGTCGAACACATTGCGAGCATAAACCAGACACCCGCACCTGCTGTAGGCTTCAACCAGCATGCTTCCGAGGTGAGCGTTTCTGTGGATGGAGCATCGAAATCCGTAACCGTGGATCTCTTTGATTGAGCTCAGCGAACCTACGTTGAGACAAACTGGAAATAAAGCGAGAAGAGTCATCAGATTGGGTCTCAAACCAGAGGCCCGCATTCTATTGTAAAACTCAATTGCAGGACCTGAACTGTCTTCGGACTCTGAAAGAGCAGCGATGATGGGATTGTAGGACGACTCCGTGGAGGGAACGTCCATGAGCTCGAACAGTTTCAGGGCGTTGGTAATATCGTTCGAGTGCGAGTAGAGAGAGATCATGGCGTTCCAGACGACGGCGTTTCGTTCTGAAGATTCGTCGAACACCTGGCGAGCGTCCGTCAAAGAGGCGCATTTTCCGTAAGCATCGACAAGAGATGAGGAGATGAAGGGGTTGGAGAGGAAGCCGGACTTGAGGGAGTGGGTATGAAGGGAAGCGACGGTGCTCGGGAGGCGAAGGGCTGCGGAGGATTTAAGCGCCAGGGGGAAGGCGAAGGGGTCGAGGGCGAGGTCAGGGGCGGCGAACATTTGGGAAAAGAGGGTGAGGGCTTGGTGATGGTGGCCATTGTTAACGAAGGAGGTGAGAAGCTTGGTGAGCTTGACGAGCTTTTGATGGCTCGATTGTAGCGTGGTAGTCATGGCTTTGGACAAAAATCTTGGTAGGAATTTCTTGCCTCAACGTTTATAAGGAATCCCCGCGGTGGCAAATTATTAGGTCAGGTGATGGAAAGCAGAGATAGGTCTAGATATTAATAAAATATTATTTTAAAATTAGCTTAAGTAAAGCGCAGGTAAAGGCGCAACTAAAGCGCAAATCAAAAAGTGCAACTAAAGCGCAGGTAAAGCGCAACTAATACTTCGTTTGGGACGGCTTTCTTATTGCTTCTTAAAGCAGCTTCCTAATATAAACATTTTAATTTTTATACTAGGAAGTTGCTTTAGGAAGCAGGAAGAAAGCCGTCCCAAACGAAGCCTTAAGCGCAAGTCAAAAAGCGCAACTAAAGCGCAAGGTGACGCGGCAAATTTTTATTGGATGTCCGAACTTATTTTTCGCCTCCGATCCAATAATTTGCCCCGCGGTAGACAGAACTAGCATTGGCCGCCATCACCAAGCCCGGTTGGTAGACTCAGAAGACAGATATTCTGATGTAACTCCAACGGTTAAATTTTATTCTAGATGAATTTACATTTTAATAACAACAATTTTCGAATAACTAATCCTATCTCTGTTTTGCCTTAGCCGTTTGATCATAAATGCAGCAATACATTGTATCCGTTAGACGAATTATTTGCTTTTCTATACTGTTATATATATGCAGGTTTACTGTAATCTCTGGATGTGAATACAAATCATACAAAAACCAATTTCTCTGTATTTTATCTTTTCCGCGTTATGCACATTCTTCATGGTATGAGAGTCTATGCTTTACAGCACTCCATGGCTTTTTTTTTTAACTTTAAGACAGTAGCAAGGTAAGATCTACTTCAATGGCAAACTCTGCTTCTTCCTTTTCTGATCTAACAATGGTTGAAAACCCACCCAACAGCGCTTCTACATTAACAATTCCTGCTCAGCTGAAGTTTCTTGTGAATAATATGAAGAATAGTATTCATACCCGTCTTACAACTGATAATTATCCCACATGGCATTCACAAAGTTTTTATAGCTAATGGGCTTGCTGGCTTTCTAGATGGAACTATTGCCCGCCCAAGTAAATACAGTTTCAGCGGTGATGGTGTTCCATCTCCCAACCCACACTACAGTTATAGAATGCTTGTTGATCAAAACTTTGTAGTTGCTCTTTATTTTGTAATCTTGGCTTCCCTCCTTCCTTCTATCCTTAATCTGAATACATGTCATGATATACATATTACAATTGAGAAGAGGCTTCAATCTCAAAATCGATCTAGCATACTTCAACTTAAGAATGAACTACATCATTTAAGTATGAAAGACATGATCATGACACAATATTTATTCTTGATCAAATCCAAAGTAGATGCCATTAATGCTGCTGGAAGTTCTCTTGATACATAAAACATTATTTTATACATATTAAGTGGTCTACCATCTTCGTATAGTGCTTTTAAAACATCTATTCGCACCAACTTATAGCCTCTGAGTCTAGATGATATATATTCCTTACTGTGCAGTGAGGAAATAAACTTAGCAGCATATGCCATTCGAGATACTCATATCTCCAAACCATGTGAATTTCAAGTTGCTCTCACTACTTCTCAAGGAAGAGGTAAAGGTCGGTATCAACTTTTTTCGAGAGGACAATCTGCAGCTTGAGGTGGTCATTTTACTAATGGGCAGGGAGCTTGTGCGCGAAATACTTCTCCTATTGAATGTCAGATTTGCATGAAATGTGGTCACTTTGTTGTTGCCTGTTGGTATAGTGCTGACTTCTCCTATCAACCATAACTCATTAAACATACAACTCTTACTATGCATCACCAACTCCCTCCGTTGATTGGTTTCTTGACATTGGTGCATCATCCCATCACTCTAAATCTCAATCAACTACAAGGCACCCAAACTTATTACGACAATCAGCATATTTCTGTAGGTAATGGTCATTCGTTACCTACAATTGTTATTAGAAAAGGCCTTTTACCCACACCATCGCATAAGCTATTACTTAAACATCTCTATCATGTCTTAGATCTTACTCATAATCTCATCTCAGTCAAGCAACTCACCTCTAAAAATAATTTTGCTATTCTTTTTACCTCACATGGTTATCAAATTCAGGATTTGAAGACTAATGGACCTCTCCTTCAAGGTTCATATCGTAATGGGCTCTATCCTATTACATCTTCAACTTCAGCTCCTGCAGCCCTCCTTACACAATTTTCTGCTTCTCACATATGGCACAAGCATCTTGGCGATCCACATTGTCACAACCCAACCCGATCAGGATAGGTCCTATCGTATTGAGGTGTGACTAGCGAACCCCAAGATCTAGTTTTGAAATTATTTCAGATTTTTCATCAATAATCATTGAAATAAATGACGAACTACATAGCTACTAAATTATTCAAATACTGAAAAATTCATCCATAAAGTTTCTTTCATTCATCAAAATAAATATCTACACTACAGTACATGGCTCTAGGCAAGAGCTATATAACTGAAAATTTAATTAGTCATGACTGTACACAAATAAAAATAGTAAGATACCTATGACCTCATATCAGATCCTGGACTGCTAGTCCATAACCTCTTTCCCTTCCCAGATTCTGAAAACTAGAAGTAAAATTATAGTGAGCTACAATAGCTCAACAAGCCACACAAATCAATCTAAATTTTTAGATATTCTTTTATCAAATATTTTGTTGAACATTTAAAATAAGTTAATTACAGTTTAAATAAATAACTGAACTAAGAATCACAAAACTGAGAAATGTAATAAATGCATTGCAGTTATTATATGATTCAAATAGCAATACATAATAACTAAATAAATTGAAATCCATATCACATAGTAGTTCATATCACATTTTTCGGATTCAGACAGAATCTGAAAGGATTTTGACCCCTTATGACTCCCTTTTTATATGTGCTTATAGCACCATAAAATATCAAATATCATTGTCTCATATAAATTCTAAAAGATTATGACCCCTTATAACTCATAGCAATTCCCTAATACATACAGAATCTCAAGGGATTCTAGCTCCTTATGAATCCCAGCATATATCATTTACTCACATACATACATATATAATCACATTATAATAATTAAAGAGTAATTGAGCATGTATAAAATTTTCAGTGTTGTATGACGGTAGACAACATAAAATCCAGCTATACAAAAATACACATTTTCAAAAAATTGCCAAATTATCACAGATTGTATAAAATGGTATTTTAAGACTTTTTTATTGTACTACAACACTATTTTTCAACATCCCGATAATTTTTCATTCAATAAAAATCCAGCAAATTTTAAAACCCCAGTCAAAAATTTTCAGAAAAATATTCAAAATGTTCATAATCGTAATCTCTACAATATACAAAAAGTTTTGTGGTGAAAGTTTTAATGGTGTAAAGTTATCCACATTTTATGCTAACATATACAAAATTTTAATCGAAATATTCGCTAAAACCTACACATTTTTTAAAATTGAGATTGATATAATATGTCTTACCTTAAGACGAACAAATTTCCCAACTGGGCCGATGGACGAAAAAGGCCCTAAGCCGTCCAAAAATCGGATTTTCTCCTCTCACTTCTCTTGTTTCCTCTAATTCCCTTAAGCTTCCTCTCTGTTTGGGAAAACCGAATGAAGACAACTATTTAACATAATATTAAATAGTGGGATGAGATATTTTATTTAAATATTAATTATTATAATTATTTAATATTAATTTTATTCAAATTCTTTTATATCTTTAAATATGAAAATTCAAAATTTTCAAAAAATTAGATATATATTAGCTAATCATATTTAAAACATTCTGGTGAAATAGGTTTACAAAACAGACATCTTACAGTCCTAAAAATCCCACTTGTACCGACATGTGCTGATTTCTTAAGAAAATTCAACATTGTCCAAAAATTATGAAAAAAATAGGGAAGCTAAAACACAACATTATAAATGTTTTGATGAAGTTGGTTTGTGATTTGGACTTCTCTAGATCAATAAAAAAAATCTTAAAAATTTAAAGAGTTTCACACTCATTCTGTTTTTAAGCTTCTCTAGCTCTTATTCACTCTCATATTAAAGTTATTTCTCATTTACATTATACTTCTTGCTCTCAAGCAAAGAGTAATAGAACTCATTGTCCTTTATATATGTCTTTTACATCTCGGCCTTTACAATTAAACCATTCATTTGTATGGAGACCAGCCCCTATTTTTTCTTTTAATGATTTTTGATATTATGTGCTCTTTGTGGATGATTTTTTGGGATGTTCATGAATATATCCTATGATACAAAAATTTGAGACATTTACTAAGTTTCAACAATTGAAGCAAATGGTTGAGAAACAATTCAATACAAACATAATAACGTTTTGTTTTGAAGGTGATCATGAATATGCTAATAATAACTTAAAACATTTTCTTAATAACCATGGCATCACTCATCAAATTTGTTGCCCATATACACCTCAACAAAATGGAGTTGTCGAGTGTAAACTTCGCCACAATCAAAACTATTGTGACTCTACTTCTTGAAGCAAACCTTATATATCATTTATGGGTTTATGTTGCTCTCACTTCAGTTCACTAAATTAAGCGTCTACCCTCCCTTACTACACATACAAAATCTCCATATAACATATTAGTAATAAGCCATCTGCTTATAATCTACTCATAGTCTTTAGTTGCTTGTGTTATCCACATCTTCTGCCTCATTCAACACACAAATTAGCTCCTCCAGCCTTAAAGTTATGTTTCTTGGTTATGCTGAAAATACAAGAGGTTTTACTGTTATAATCTCTTAACAAGAAAAATCACTATCTATATTAATGTTCAATTTCACGAACATATCTTTCATTATCATTCATTGTTCCTGGTTTTTGTCACCACTTCTTCTTCACATACATATCCTTCTCCTCTTACACTAATACCCATCTCCACTACTCATATTACTCCACCAAAATCCCATACTCCTCCATTATCTCCACCATACACTATAATTTCTTCAGCTTCTATTTCCTCCACTCCACCTAGTTTGGATCACCACTTCTTCTTCAAATACGTCATCAGAAATATGTTCGCTCAGGAAAATAGGCGTGAACCTCACTCTCACAAGCTTAAGGTCCTTATTTTCCTGAGATAGATTGAATTGTAAATTAATCAGATTTCTCCTGAGAATAGTGTTAGAATTTATTTAGATCTGTGACTTACTTCTTATGAGCGCAAGCCCTCATATTTAATTATCCCTTGTAATGCATAGAAGAGCATGTGGACCTCCGAAAGAACACCACTCACCTGCAGAGTGCAGAGGGGTATACGACCGCACCACCCCGAGAGATAGAGATGATCGCGGGCGTCCGCGCTCCTCGCAAACGGGTCAATGGAATGACATATTAGATCATACATATGACTAACCATTGAGGATAGCGGCTCTCGTCAGTGCACCGCGATGGGTAGTAATATATACGACATGATCAAAATAACGGGTTTTCCCCACCCGATACATCAGCTTGAAGTGGGGTTTATTTGATGGTGGAATTCAGTTTCCCACGGGCGCAAGCCCCCGTGGTTAATTACATCTTAGGCCGGAGCCTAGAAAGACTCTCAATTAAGGATCCTACATTATCCTTTGAAATGGAATTGGCACAAGGGTAGAGATTAGGAAAGCCTACTCAAAAGGAAAGAAATGACTCAAATTGAGTAGGATTTCCTAGTCTCTACCTTCTGTGAACTACGGGTGTTGACTAAGCCATTTGAACCCATTATTTCCTTTTGAGTAGAATTTCCTAGTCTCTACCCTTGTGCCAATCTCATTTGAAAGGATAATGTAGGATCCTTAATCGAGAATCTTCTTAGGCTCCAGCCTAAGATGTAATTAACCACGGAGGTTTGCGCCTGTGGAAAACTGAATTCCACCATTAAATAAACTCCACTTCGAGCATATGTATCGGGTGGAGGAAACCTGTTGTTTTGATCTGGTCATATATATTCATATCCATCGGGGTGCGTTGGCGAGAGTCGCTATTCTCAATGGTTAGTCGTATGTACGATCTAATCTTCCCTTCCATTGGCCCTTTGTGAGTAGTGCGGATGTCCACGATAGTCTTTATCCCTCGGGGTGGTGCGGATGTATACCCTTCTACACTCTGCAGCTGAGCGGTGTCCTTTCGGAGGTCCACAGGTGCCCTCAATTAAGGATGGAAATATATTTAGTATATGGATGAAGTACATATGTATGTGCAACAGTATATGAATGTTCTAAACCCTTGTTGTGAGGGATAAAGGTAGATCTGATTAAGATATCATGGTTTCGTCATCCCAGAAATATCGTAGGATTTAGTTTACTAACAATAACGAATATTGATCATAGTGTCCAGGGAATTTGATTAGTATCAATGGGTTACCTCCTCGTTGAAGAGCTGGTTAGAAAGTAATTTAGAGAAATGTTGTTAGCTTGTACTTAGGTTGTATTAGTAGAAAATATTGATTTTATGTTTTATTTAATTTAATTGCATTACTTAATTAAACAAATAAGATTTTTAATTAAATTGATTTTACAATTTAAATTAATTGTTCAGCTTAGTTCATTTAAAATTTTAAGTTTTAAAATGTTATTTTAAAATTACATAATCATTTTAGTTTAATTATTAATTAAACTGTTGCTCAATTAATCCAATTAATTAAAACATTTTAGTTTTAAATTAAAGTATTTATTTTAAGTAAGGTTTTTACTTTATTAAATCTTACATTAATTAATTAACTAATTATATAACTTTAATCTTTATTTTTTAAAATTAACGATTTAATTATTTAAACTTCTCTTGCAAATTTAAATTATGTTAAATGATTTTAATTTTAAAATTTTAAAATTAATTAGTTTAAAATTAATTAATATTTCAAATAAAGTTCTGATTTCAAAATTCATTATTTTATTTCGAATTTTAAAGCTATTCCATTTATTCAATTAATCAGGCTTTGTGTAAGGCTTTTTATTTTTTATTTAATGATTTGAATCAATTAATCAGTTTGAAATTGAATAATATGAGCTAATACAAATAATATTTATGATTGAATAATTTGACATATTATTTTAATATTTAGTTAATAATTAGCATTTAAGATGAATGAAATGCACCTTAATTGCCAGTATAATACTATAACGCAATAAATGTTCACTTTTGTCTCTTCCGTATAGTTTTTATTTATTATTATTATTATTATTTTCTTAAGAATGCAAACTTAGCGTATATAATTTTTTTTCAGGAAATGCCAAATGAGTCGCACTTAAGAGAAAGTGTTTGTTGCCCTCAGTTTTTATTATGAATGAAGATAAAATGGGAATTTAACATTCTGTTGCACAGTCCATTCGCTATACACAATACCGCTCTTGCGTCAATGTCCTTAAAAGAGCTTCCATTACAAAATCTTATTCTGGTATGTAGGGTTGTCAATATTTGACACGACATAAAAATCTGGCACGAATTTGATCCGAAAATTTTGGGTTATGGTCAACCTAGACCCAAAACTGGTCGGGTTCGGATTCAACAAATCGACCATTTTTAAAAATCAGGTCGGGTTTTTACCCAGAAATTCGAAATTGATCCATTTTGGACCGAAAATTCAAAATTGACCTATTTTTTACCTGAAAATCAGGAATTGACCTCTTTTTTTACCCGAAAACTAGCAATTTTTTATCAGCCTCGAGTCGTTCGGGTCGTGTCAGGTTGACCTGGACCCAATGGGGGTCTGGTTTGGGGCCAAAAAATCGACCCGTTTTTCGGGTCTTGTTCGGGTTGACCCGAATAGTGCCGGATCAGTTTCGGGTTCGACCTGAACCAGACCCATGACCCGAAATCGACACCCCTACACCTATGCATTATGCCCTTCCTGTTGATGTTTTTGGTGATCTCTCATCACGACTTCTCTTCTTTTTAACATGCTACCATACCGTGATACTATCTAGTTATATGTCCTCGAAGCCTATCAAGTGAGTTGTCGTTGCGTACGTCCCTTCTCTTTCACCTGCATCGCTGAGAGCGAACCTTGGTCCAAACTATCTTTGCTCCTATCAAACTTCAATATACACAAAGTTATATCTCATTGGGGATAATTTTATATAAAATCAACTTTTGTGCATATTTCTCCAATAAAATAAGCAGATAATATTTTTCTCTAATTTTCTCTATTATAATACATATAATGTCAAATTAATTTATTTGTATTTAAGAGCTAATTTACGAACATACTTATAAAATTAATATATTTTAATAAATTCCCTAATATAAAACATCTTAAATGACAAAGCTACTCAGACATGGTGATGGGACAATATCACATTTATATAAAATACATTATTTTTATGGTATTGAAACAAGTTTGACGATAATAGGTGTAAAAGACATTGTCATTTTTATATAGAAGTTTAATTTTGAATTTTATTCAAATATCTATTTGATTAATATATATAAATAAGGTCTATTATTAATGATAAAAAGTGATACGTTATCACAAAATTAGCTTGATTGGGCACGAATCTCGAAGCAAAAGCTAGTTGCAATATTATATATATATAATCAATCTAATTTTTATAGTTAATGAATGGCTTAGGACTTAATAAAAAAAAAATTCAAGAGTTGGTGACAAAAATATTATTTTATAATTTTAAATAAATAATTAGTAAGTAATTGTTTAAAAAATAATAGTTTAATTCAAATAAAAAAAATTGGTGTCCCGTATTATTTCGCGTATAAAATGTGGGGAGGGAATCGAGCGCGCAGAGAGGAATAGTAGAGAAACGGAAGACTCGGCTCCGTCTGCTCTTCGGCTCCTTTCTTTCCTGCCAGATCCGAGGATCTAAAGTCTAAACCACAGAGTGCTCCCTACAATAGCGCCGAAGAGTTCGTCTTAGGCGACCCCGCTTCAGCTATTTATCCGATCGAATGCCGATGCTATGCGTCATTGAGCTTTTCATTCGGTCTCAGCTGCTGATCACCCGTCCTTACGGATTAAAAGCACTCGCTTGATCAATTTCTTGAGTTTCTTCATCCTTTTCGAGATTAACAACGAGAGATGGCCTCCCAACAATCCACTCCTGCGGGATCTGTGCGCTATGCTCAACTGGTAATGAATCGCGTTCTGCTTTGTTTCTCCCAATCCCCCCATCCCCCGCGTGTCTTCCTTCTGCATGTTCTAGGATTTTGTTTTTGGTTAAAAAATTTCAACTTTTTGGTGCTCGGAAACAGGTGGGAAATGCATTTGTGCAGCAATTCTTCCTCGTCCTGCATAAGTCACCGGACCAGCTTCATCGATTCTACAAGGAAAGTAGCAAGCTGGGACGTCCTGGACCTAATGGAGAGATGACCGCGACCTCCTCCTTGCAGGTAATTTATGCTTTTCTTTTTCGTTGCTTTGGAAGAAAAAAATGTGGGAAAGGAAGAGTTTAAAATCCAAGGAGTCGTGTTCTGATCTCTATTTGCGTTGCATCTTGTTGACTCTGTTGATACAATGAAGGACATCAACGAGAAGATTCTATCGATGGACTACAGCGAGTACCGAACTCAGATAAAGACAGTGGATGCACAAGAAACCCTTAACGGTGGGGTCCTTGTCCTTGTCACGGGTTACCTATTTGGGAAGGATGATGTCAGGAGAGGTTTCACCCAAAGCTTCCTTCTTGCGACCCAGGAGACAGGCTTCTACGTTTTAAATGATATATTCCGATTTGTTGAAGAAGAGGACCAGCAACAGGAGCGGCAGGGTTTGGCGAATGAAACCTGGGTTCCTTTTTCTGCAGAGAATGGTATTGCTCGGAAGCCTGCATTTATTTCTTGCTTTCATATTTTCGCTTTTTCTAATTCATTCAGCATTTATTTTTTAATTCTGCAGGTACTGTTACACCCCAGGAGCATTATCCTTCTGAGCAAAGTGAAGAAGAACCGGAAAAGGATGAAATAACTGAAGAAGAAGTTTATGATCCTTCGGAACATGGCGGAGAATCTTCAAATGATACAGCAGAGCATGTCGAGAAGGAGATCAATGAAGTTCCAACTGCTTTGCAGCCTACTGTGGCTGGTTCAAATCCTTCAACTGGCCGGAAGCCAAATGTGTCCTATGCTTCAATTGTAAGTGCACGTGTTCATTGACATTCAATATTTTATTATTATTCTAATAAGTTAAGATGGTAGGGTTTAAACGTATATTTTGGGATTTGAAAAATCAGATATGGAGCCCCTATTGTTCCAGCTCAAGGTCTGCTTAAATATACTTGATTTGATCTAGACATTAGTCTTGGTTGGCTTGAATAGATCATGCTTATAATTTCATAACTCGTTGATAGAGGGGTGAAACTAGCCATAATTTTCAGGGGGGCAAACTTATAAGTAATTATTGGCAGATATGTCGAGGGTTTGAGGGGGCGGCGCCTCTTGACGGGGTTCAAACTGAACAAATTTTGATTTACTATTTCTCTTTGTATTTAGTTCATCATTCTCTAACAATAACACCTCTACACAATGTGTTTAATTAGGTTGGGGCAATTGTTTAAAGACCATAGTATTTTAAAACTTTTAGGGGGGGTAATGACCTAAAAAGTTTATAATAAAGACTAAAAAAATATTGAGAGAGACAAATTACATAAAGAATCATATAATAAAAAAAATTATTTTTAAGGGGGTTTCCCCCCGGGCTTAAGGGGGTTCCGCCCCTACGTTGATATCAATCCAAGATCGAGCTGGACATAACAAAAGGTCCTACTTTGGTTGATTTTAGATATGTAAGTTGAATTTCTCTGTTCTTTGTTCATGCATGCTTACAATTAGGAGTAGTTGCATAAACAGGTGAATCCGTTGATACATTTCAATCGGATTTTAAGAAGGATTGATTCAAGCAAGTGTTGGTTCTTTTCAAGTTTGATTTGGACATAATTTGCTCATTAATTGGTTGTTTGATTTTGATACAAGCCAAAAGCCAATCTAGTTTTGCACTAGTTAAATTTCACGTTGTTAGGATTTAAAAAATCAATTAGAATTTTATAAAATTAAAAAAATACCAAACACAATGTAATATTGATTAATTTTTCAAACAACAGGAAAAGATTATTTAAGATAGAGCAACAAAAATTGCTATTTCATTGAACAATCTCATCTCTTAAAGGAAGTTATTTTATTCAACTAGAAATGATAATTAAAACAGATGTGCAAAGAGGTGTGCTATTTATGATTTAAAAGCACAAAAACATCATAGAAATGGATCAGTAGTTGTGGGCATTCATTATCTTTAGGGAAGTAATCGATTAAATCTTGAAAAAACTATTTAAATTTGTTGGAATTTAAAAATAGAGTTTAGAAAACGATGCAACGCCATAGTCTTGTAAGGAATGTTTCAGGATAAATTATTCTATGCAGATACGGACGCCGTTCGGAGGCGAATTAGAACGAGCCACATCATTTTTTGTCATTGTACTAGAAAGCCGCTTTGCAGGAAGAAAACTGTCCCAAACAAAGCCTAAGTCACAAGTTCCACCTAGGTATGGCACTAAAATGTACCTTATAAAAAGGTAGTTAGGAAAGCCCAAGTAAATAACTCATTCTAGATAATAAAGTAAATTACTTCTTAGTCCTAGCTAACTCAAACTCGTCAAATAACTTTCAAAAAATAAACCAGCAAATCAAACAAACTTTCCTGCGGATGATATGGTGCGTAATAACTGAAAGATTGCATGAATGCCATCATTTTCTCTTTATGCTCGTTTAAGAAATTCATAGCATGTCCTACACAGTAAGTTTGCCATTTTTCTCTTCCTGTTTTTTTTTTGCAATTGCTTATCTATTTTATATAATTTTCTTTCCTATGAAGCAAACAAATCATTGGTAAGTCAAATCATGATACCTGCTTAGGTGAATAGTATAATCTTAAAGATTCTAATGAATATATATAGGTGATGGCGATGAAAGAAAAACCTGCACCTGTATCAGTTGCCAAATCTGCTCCCAACGAGGCAGTACCTACTGATACAGAACAGAAAGCTCCTGCTGCTCCTACACCAGCACCAGCACTAGCACGGGCAGCAAAAGTTCCTGCCCGAGGTTCTTATGCTGCAGAAACCAACGTTGCCCAGGAGTCAGAAGGTCCGTTGTGTTTACTAATGGGGACTTGTACTTTCTTATTGAACTTTGTAATTACAGTGACCTTTCTTTTCAGCTGAAGGGTATTCTATATACATCAAACGGCTGCCTTTGAATGCTACCTGTGCTCAACTTGAAGAGGTTTTCAAAATCTTTGGTCCAATCAAGCCCAATGGCATACAAGTTAGACGCAATATGGTTATCCTTCAGACTTTACTGCTATCTTTTCAAATCATTGGAAAATTAGTTTATATTTTAATTTTTCTCCCAATCTTGTTTTCAATAGCGAGATTTTTTTACTTGGTGTGCAGTTACATGGGTTTTGCTTTGGTTTTGTGGAGTTTGAGGTGGCTGATGCCGTTAAAAGTGCAATTAAGGTAAATTGTACAGCTAATTTGTTTTTAATTTTCATGTCTGATTCATGGATATTTACTCGAGGAACAGTCAGCTTTGTGATTCATTATTATAATGTTTACTTCTTTTATCTATTTTTGTTTTTGATGAAAAGTTGCGTAAAAACTCCTCTCGTTAAAAATATGAGAAGGGTAACAACACAAGAACAACAAAAACAAGTCAAATTAGGAAAAGAAGTAGACAAAGAATAAATAAAACTAGGACTATCTATAAGACCAATAAAACTCCATTTTTACTGCTTATATGAGATTTTTATATGATGTTATGCCAGGTAGCATTATTATCCTTCGTTTTTTGATGTATTTTCTATTTATTCCTTTCGTTCCAAATGTTCCAAATAAGAGAAAACAAGATATATCCCATCTTCTAGTTGGCACAAACTTATTTCTCCAAAATTTGAACCATTTAAAATCAATACCTATGGAATTATTAATCTTAAATAAGTTGAAAAATCTTCTCTAAATGTTGGAAATCATTCCACAATTAAAGAAAGGATGAGAACTGGTCCTTGATGCGGAATTGCTCATGTTACAAGTAGTAGCAAAAGAAAATTAAATTGAAATTCAAAAGATCGGTAGTGTAAGGGATTTTGCTAGAAATCAATGCCCAAAAGATTGGCAGTGTAAGGGATTTTGCTAGAAATCAATGCCCAAATGAAAACTTGTACTTGGATCTTTAGTCTTCTAGTTCCTACGAAAATTTTATAGGGAATTAGTAGTATAACCACTAGGTGATAGATCCCATTGAGGATTGCCTTTAAAAGCAATATATCAATATGATCAAAGATACCTAGATATAAGGAGTACCATTGGATACATCTGCATCTTTGTTGACACCACTATTAGTGGGTGTCACAACTTTAGATATAGGTGTACTATAAAGTACAGAAGCTGAATATGTATCTGTTATGAAGTCATCAAGGAGATGATTTGGTTCAAAAGATTCTCATCATGACACAATATTTTTGTTATTGCTAAATCTCCATTAATTTTACAAAGAATGATATTTTCACTCTCGAGCAAAAGTACTTATGCATATAATTTTTACTCAAAAAATGGGTTTTACAATTCATCAAGATCAAGGGGCAAAAAATTGATCCATTTGCAGTCAAAGGATACTCAATGACAATGTTTTTAAGTTCTCAAAAACCTTTAATGTCAAAGATATCTTTAAGTATCATCTTCCACATGAAGCTATTGTTGTAGAAATGAACTTGGTGTCTAGCTTTTCCAAATACTAAGAAGATTGATATAATTCCACTGGTGTTGTAGCATTGAAGATCAATGCTGTGTTGCCATTCCAACATTTCATCTCTGCCTGGGCACTGCGGTATGCTTTGGCGACATTGCGTTGTCTTCACAATTGATTCCCTAGAAGTTGTGCAAAGCCCTTTGTCCCATGCACCAAGGTGCCTAGCTCAATTCCTTGGCGCTTTTTCTGTACCAGGCCACCTCAACCGTCTCCAGTGCCACATTTTTTACTGTCTCTGCCATTTTCCATTTTAGTCATGTAGTTTTATTTCCTTAGTTTTGTTGTTGTCCTTTAAACGGATGTTTGACATCTGGCTTAGCATATTGATGGTAGATTAACGATGATTGCGGGACTCTGTATGGTTTTCATCTATGAAAGAAGAAGAATCGTTCTCTATTTTCACATTTTCGCCTCTTTGAGCTCTGAGCCAGCATTTATCGTTCACTTTCACTCTCTCCATATCCTCTTATGCATTATGTTCGTTGTCTCATTTATAAAAACTGGCTTAGACGTAAAAGTTTAAAAATTTGAAAAACATATAGAGAAGCTTGTAAAGAGTCTAAGAAAGCAATATGCGATGCTAAGAATTTAATTTTTAATTATTTGTATAATAAATTAGATATTAAGTAGGATGAAAAATGTATATATAAGTTAGCCAAATAAAAAGATAGGAGAAATAAGGATCTAGTTCGAGTGAAGTGCATTAAGGATGGACATCAAAAAGTATTTTGTTAGATGAGAATATTCAACATAGTTGGATGAGATATTTCAATAAGCTTTTCAATGAAGATTATGAGAATATGAGTTATTTTAGTGACCTTAGCACCCTAAATGAAGATAGAGATTTTTATTTTTATCGTCATATTAGCAAAACCAAAGTTAAAGAGGTTTTAAAGAAAATGAAGTGTGTAAAAGCAGTTGGACCTGATGATATTCTAATAAAGGTGTGGAAATGCTTAGGAGATGAAATAATTTTGTCTTACTAAACTTTTCAATATTATTTTGGAGACTAAAAAGATATCAGATGAGTGGATAAGGGGCGTGTTGGTTCCTATTTTCAAGAATAAAGGCGATGCACAAAGTGTGAGGATTATGGAGGAATTAAATTAATGTGTCGTACATTAAACTATGGGAGAGAGTAATTGAGTATAGGTTATGAGTGATGCTAATGTTTCTTAAAATCAATTTGGATTCATGCCGAGTAGGTATACTATTGAAGTTATGCATTTATTGCAAGGTTTGATGGAGAAGTATAGAGAGAATAAGGAGGATCTTCATATGATATTTATTGATTTAGAGAGCATATGATAAAGTTTCAAGTTAAGTACTTAGGAGAGTTTTAGGAAAGAAAATAATTAATAATATTTATTTTTAAGTCATTATTTTAAGTCATTAAGGATATATATGCAGGAGTTGTTACTTGTGTTCAAAGACAACGTGGTTTGACCAATGATAGAAACCTTACAACATAAATAGGAGAAATGAGAATAACCTCACTCCTTGAATTAATTAGACTAATTCCTTGAATGCACTAAAACAGGAAACAAAATAAGTCAGAATCTGTTTAAAATAATACTCGATTCCCTTATTATGGGATACAAAATAATCTGATTTATGGTAGGTAAATAATTATGGAAACTAAAGTTTCTCATCTTCAACTTCTGCACAGCCTGTAACTTTCAATTTGTTTTAACAATTTATACTAGTTTATGCAGGTACATAATTCCATAATCTTTTGAATTCTTTTTCCTCTAATTTAGTTAATAACTTTTGGAGAACAATTGGATAGGAATGTTCTTGCAAGTTGTGTTTCTTTTCACAGTAGCTTGGAAGTTAGCCTACGAGGTCCGTAGGAAAAGCAGATATGAGGAAGACATAATATTTGTATAATCTCTTTAAGGCAAATTAGAAGCTAGATTTCTATTTTTCATTCCTGATTGAGAAGTAATCCGTTAGTTTTATTTAGTTTAGCTCAATGGAAGAGGGGATGATTTGATGCATGGACTTGCGCAAATCTAAAGAGGCTTATTTTTGCTCTTCTTGAATTATATTTTCCTGTTTAATACTAAAAAAAAATTGAAAGTTTTGATTGGAAGAACGCATGAGTAATGACTGTTAAAAGTATTTCTTAGGAACATTGTTTGTCCTAGCCGGTGCTTTTGTTTGCTAATATAGATGCATGGTTGACTATCCTAATATCTATTGTTCACTGTACATGTTGATATTTCATTCTTCGGATAAAATCAAAATGATCATAATACAACAACCCTCTATGCTTGGAGAAATTATTCTGTGTGGAGATCGGATACAGAATGCCGTCCGGAGGCCAGCCAGGCTGTGCCAGGTCAGTGGTACCAAGCGGTACTGAGTAGTAGCGAGCCACGGTACCGAGCAAAGGCGTGACGTGACTCATTTTGATTGGTCTATGGCCGCACAGAACAATTAAGCCTATGGTTGATATGATTTTCAGTTCATCCAACGTTTAAGTATTGATTGTTGATTTGTTTTATGGTTTACAATAAAACTTTCAGAGTTCTAAAATTCTGAACTGTATTCTAGTATGCATTTGATTTGTATGCTACTAATGAAACATTGTGAATACATGGGAAATGACTTTCTGCTCGCATTCAGAAATGTTTTTGATAAGAAACAAATCTATTCCCTTCACAAATTTTCAAGTTTTATGTGTTTCCTGCATTTTCAGGCTTCACCTGTATTGATTGGTGGTCGTAAAGCTTATGTTGAGGAAAAAAGAACCAATGCTCCACGAGGTACACATTATCCCTGCATGTCACTTCAAGTTGCTCATTGATTAATTAACAATTATGTTGAGTAGTACATAATCTTATACTCTTTCATAATATGAAATGATCTATAGCATTTTAAGTCAAAAGTTACAAAAAAATTATCATCAACTAGTAGGCAATATGTGATGAGTGCACAATATTAAAGTTTCATTTGGTGCAACTTTCTTACTACTTCTTAAAGCAGATTTTTAGTATAAAAATTAATTTTTTTTATTGAAAAAATGTTTTAAATAACAGTAAGAAAGCCATCCCAAACTAGAGAGATTATTCTGTGCGGACACCGGACGGGAAAACCGTCCGGTTTACGCTTAGGTACCGAGCTGTACCAAGCCGCGGTACCGCTTGGTACCAGACGTGACGCATTTTTATTGGGGTCTGGACTCCACACAGAATAATTTGTCCCCAAACTAAGCCTAAATGAACCATTTTTTTTTTTTAGCTTCGATGAGAAAGGAGCTGTCATTTTATGTTCAAAGCCTGCTTCTTTATATATATTTTCAACAATTAACACGTCTTATCATTTTCTTGCATGGTCTATTCATTAAATTGCTATTTTCTAACTGCAGTGAATAACCAAGCAAGGTTTGCACCTGTTAGAGGAGCTGGATACCGCGGTAATGGAATGAGGGGTCGTGGATATTATGGTGGTGGGAGGGGTTATGGAAGGTGGGGAGGAGACTACAGTTTCAGGCCTGATTTTGGGAACAGAGGGGGTAGGGGTGGCGGTCCCTTCTGGCCGAGGCGGCGATATAGAACACCACAGGCTTGATCAAATGGCCTCTTATGCTGCACCCATGGCCGCTCTGGGTCTTTACCTCCAGTGCCTGCGTCTGCATAAAACAAACAGAGACTCAAGAACTGTTTTCCTTCATTCATGGCAGATATCTCAGCAGCTGGTTATTTGACTCTCTTCCAAGCCTTTTCGTCTTGTGCAAGATGCAATTTTTATTTTTTAGTTTATGGAATGTTTCGTTCGAACTTTCATTGCTGCTAAAAATATAGGTAGGAAATAGTGTTTTTAGTCTTATTGTGTTGTTATGTTTCCATGATTTGGAAACAGTTTTCCGTTCCCCTTCAGCATTTGAGAAAAATCAATGGTGATAAGGGAAAATCTTCCTCTAACCTCGAATTTATGCTTCTGTGACAAGTTGTAAAATTGTTTTTGCTTTCCATGAAAAGTTTTTTACACCTATTTGCCTCTTCTTTGGAAAATTATTAGGTCCGGTCACCTGGCAGAGAGATACATTCGGATTTCTCTTTGTCTACAGTCAAAGTGTAGCTGCTACAGTAACTGAGATTTACTGTAGATAGAGAGAAATTCGGATGCATTTCTCTGTCAGGTGATAGCTGCTACAGTAACAGCGATTTACTGTAGATAGAGAGAAATTCGGATGTATTTCTCTGTCAGGTGACCGGACCTAATACTTCGCCCTTTTCCTGATAGTTTAGCTAGGAAGAATATAAAGTGAGAAGAGGTTTTTAATCAATGGTAATTCAACTGTATTCATACTTCACTGTACATGTATATATAATGGGTAAAAAGGCTGGATGCATGTGCCAGACATCATGTGTAGTGCAGTGCTTACACGTGTACAGCTAAGATAGTATGTGTGGTTTTAGATGGACGGTGGAGCTCAGCTCTGCATTGTGCTGCTCCTCTATGTTTGATTTTGCAAGTGATGCTATTCTATTACTTGGGTTCGATTCTTAGGAGGTTAAGTTTCTTAAATATTCTGATAAGTGGGGACACTCGTTACAGTTTTCCACTTCTTTATTTTTGGGATTGCTATTTGTGGTGTTCTATTTTAAATTTTTTAGTTGAAAAGCTATTTTTTTATAATTAGATTGATTAATGTGTGAGTTGTAAAAAAAATATTATTGTCTAATTTTTTCAAAGAAGTTTTAAAACTTATTGCGACTTCACCAAAAATTATCTTAATCAGGAACATAACTAAATTTAGGATCATCTGAATTTTAATTTTAATAAAATTATAGTCAAATTAAACATCTTGACGAGATGATTGAGGTACTAAAATAAAAAACGAATGATTCATGAATAGAAAATTGATATGGGTTGTTCCATGAAATGTTCTAAAACTTCTCTATATTTATGGTTATGGCACTAAAAAAAATCTATAAATAAGCTTCTACTCTTTACATGAAGGGGGGAGGAGCTTGGAGTTTTCTCTTGAGATTCAAGAGAACTATAAAGCTTTGAGAATATTAGAGTTCAACCTGAGCACCATTACCAAACAAGCACTTGATTGTTGCTATCAATGTTCTATTCTTTACATTAAGGAGGGAGGAGCTTGGAGTTTTCTCTTGAGATTCAATAGAGCTATAAAGCTTTGAGGATATTAGAGTTCAACCTGAGCACCATTACCGAACAACCACTTGTTTGTTGCTGTCAACCTTCGTTGTCTATCAACTATGATCATTTGACCTCCATGTTATACCTTATACTTTTGCCCCCCCCCCCCCCCCCCCCCCAATCTTTTAGCTATTACTTTCTTTCTATTTTCTCATTGCATTTTAAAAATTTTTAAGTAGAAAAGCTACTTTATGTAACTAGAATAGTGAGATTATTTTCTCTACTGTAACTTTGTAACCAATTTCATAAAATTCTATTGTTGTCCCAAATATGCTCATTGATGTACCCTATCTCAACTCAAGTGTTTGTAGCCAATATTTTTTTTTCTATTTTTTCAACAACAAAAGTATTCAATTCTAAAAGCAAAAAATGAGATAGGCTAAGTGATACGTCGTCAAAAAATTATCTTGATCGGGCGCGAATCTCAATTTTTCAATTTGAAAACTTCAAAAATTAATTTGGAGACCATCTCAACTCCGATTTCAACAAACTTACAGTCAAATTGAGCGTCTCAGAAATACGAACCCAACGACACCAAATTCAACTCAATCCGAGCCCTAATGAGTACAAATCAAGTACTCGAAATGCTGTTGGAAGGTTTGAACCACAATTTGGGTTACCAAACGGTTTCCAAACATGACGTGCTTATATTAGAATCGAGCGGATCGACAAGACGAATCCAACGAGCCCAAGATCGTCAAATTCTGACATCACTAAGGTCTTCAAATGTCTGACGAACGACACACGATCAAGGGATTCAATATCGGCCGTCCATCCAACCACTCCACATTTACCCCTGATCTCTTGCCTATTTACGGGGCATGCCACTCCAGAAAATCTATAAATAGACCCATTGTTTCTCTTGAGAGGGGGACCCATGCAAGAAGAGAAGGAACAAGCTCCTCCTCGAACACTGTCGGAACCTCGCCGGACCACCGAAGGAGCCTCGCCGGACCACCGCCAAAACCTCGTCGGCCCACCACCTGAGGCCCTCACCTTCGCCGGACCACCACCAGAGCCTCGCCGGACCACTGCCGGTGTGACGCCCCAAGATCTAACTTGGAAAAATTATTCTTTTAATCCATTAAACCATCAACTAGCAGAGCTATCTATAGTCATCAATAAGTATTAAACAGTCTAATAAAAATTCTATAATTTAAATCATCATGGACACATTTCTATTCATTCCCAAAAGTTTATTTATAATACTTAGGATTTACACAATAATCACAATTCCATCCAGTCATGAGTACAAAAGAATAGCTATAATAAAAAGGAACAAAAATCTGAAGAACTCAGATCAACCTCACACTTCTGCTCCCTTATCCTGACATGAAAATATTAACCACATATAATGAGCTTTAAAAAGCCCAGCAGGTCACCAAAAACCTACAACTAAAATCAATGCATGGTACTGAAATAATTTGCATGCCAATCAGTCAAATAAATAACAGTCACTTGCACATGATCATTGAATCTATGCAGATACGAAAATCAGTAATCAATGCATAATCAATAAAATCCACAGTCATCGGTAGAAGAATCGGTAAACAGTAGAAAAATCCATAATGCTCAATAAATTAGTACTTAAGTCAATTCCATAATATCTTAAAACATCGGTCAAATCCAAAGAGAAAAAGCATCATATCAGTAATATCAATCAAATAAATATCGTATCAATAATATCAATCAAATCATTGAATAAAGAAATTATCTCTGGTCAATAATATCAATCGGCATGAAATCATATAAAATAATCAAATCAATATATCGTAAGAACAGTTAAAATCAAATTAATGTAGTAAAAACATATTCTATATCACGTGCTCGGTGTATCACATGTATTAGATCAATATTCAGTGTATCAATGAATCAATGGTACCAATAAATCTATAATATCAATGAATCAATAACATCGGCATATGCAGTATCAATGAATCAAGGCAATATCAATATCCATATCAGTATCTGTATCCAGTGACATGTACAGTATGCAATATCAATAAAACCATGTAGTAACAGTAAACCCGTAAATCCATCAGTAAATCCATTCATCAATAATCAATTCAATATCAATAAATCCGTCGATATCAATAAATTCATACACTAATTAATAAATCCATAAAGAAATTATACGAACAATACTTTACACATACATTCCAGTACAGTAGTCTTACTTAACAAGTATAATCACTGGCTATTAAGACGTTTTTAAATGTTAATATCGATGTATCGTTGTATCCGTTGGCTCAATAATAGAGTTGTCACTCTTCGCCCGTCGGCGTAATCTCCTTATGTCTCACAATCGTTATATCACGTGATCAATAGAGGATAACACCAAACCCTTTTTAAAGGATAGCCCGTCGACCCACCATCCTATACAGGTCAATCAATCTCCAATCAATGGTTCAACCAGTCTTTACTTGTCTTTTAGTAATATAACAGTAATTTCAATCATATATCCACGTTCGTATACATCTCATTAATACATTGCAATCAACAAACACGATTTAACTCAATTGAAGAAAATCCTTAAAATATCGTACAGTCGACAGAAATCTCAAACATAGACAAAATACACAGTTTCAGAAAATTATCAAATTACAAAAAATCGAATAAAACAACATTTCAAGACTTTTATCGTACTGAAGTAATATTTTTCAACATCAAAATAATTTCTTATTCGATAAAAATCCCACATAATTCAAAATACCGTTGAAAACTTTCAGAAAATACTCAAATCGTGCAACATCATCATTTCTACAACATACCAAAAGATATGCGGTAAAAATTTCGTCAATACAAAGTTATGCACATTTTTCGGTAACGAAAACACAAAACTGAGCAGAAAAATACCAAAACACGAAATCTTTGAAATCAGAAATAGGATTCAAATTCCTTACAGTGAAACAAACAACTCTTCCAACAGCAGCGTCGGACGAAAATTGCACCGCGGCCTCCGAAACTAAGCATTTTCCTTCTCTTTCTCTCTCCAGCTTTCTCTCTTCAAAAATATATGAAAATATCTCAAATCAACTATTTAATGAACTCGATTGTTCAGATGATGTTTTCCATTCGTCCCGGGATGAAACTCTCTGGACACAGATCGTACAGACGATGATGGATTTCATCCCTAGATAATGCTCTCGAGCAAAAATTCGTCCCGGACGAACTCAGGTTCGTCCCGACAAACCTATATTTTACTCAGTTCATACATGGAGTTCGTTCGTACTAACCATATAGATTTTCATAATTTTCTTCAGTTCATCTCGTACTAAGGTCAGTTCGTACAGACTAACTGCACCCAAAAATATAAAATTTAGAGGGGTTTTACAGGCGGAGCCTCGCCGGACCAAAGCGGAGCCTGGTCGGACCACCGCGGAGCCTTGCTGGACCACCACCGAAGCCTCGCCGGACCACCGCCGGAGCTTCGCCGGACCACCACATGAGGCCCTCACCTTCGCTAGAGTCTCTCACCTTCTCCAAAGGCCCTCACCTTCGTTAGAGGCCCTCACCTTCGTCAGAGGCCCTCACCTTCGCTAGCTAGCTGCCCTCACAATCGCCAGACCACCATCTGAGGCCCTCACCTTTGCTAGAGGCCCTCACCTTCGCCAGACCACCATATGAGGCCCTCACCTTCGTCAGAGTCCCTTACCTTCATCAGAGTCCCTCACCTTAGTCAGAGGCCCTCACCTTCTCCAGAGGCCCTCACCTTCGCTAGAGGCCCTCACCTTCGTCAGACCATCACCTGAGACCCGAAGTTCTGCCATACCATCACCTGACGCCCAAACTTCTACCGAAGTTTTGCCCTTCGACTACGG